AATATATAAACACATCACATGCAGAATTGTTATATGTGTATTTCGACAAACAACTAAGAAACTTCTAATAATAAAAAAGTTTTCAACTACAACAACAACAACAACAAAAAAAAAACGGGAAAAAATCGGGTCAATTTCATCAATCCATCCATTCATTTATCTATTTAAACATACATAAAACATTCAATGACGCTGCTGTTGCTGCCGCATCTCAAACACCATTTATCGTCACTTGATATGTGTTATGATCAAGACTTATGTCAAACATATAGAGAGAAAGAGAGAAAAAACATCTGGTCAACAAGCGGGTGATGGTGGTCAGTATATACAATTCAAAACAAAACAAAACAAAACAAAACAAAAAAAAGAAAGAAAGAAAAAAATTTGAATTCTGTAAATAGATTTTGCATCATCATCTTTCTAACTCATATATATTGATGATGAAGATGTTTGATTGTAAATCGAAATTGTATTGCAAGAAAAAATCCTTCACAAAAGAATCGCCCATCCAGCAGTCACCAACCAACCAACCAACCACCCACCACATCCATTTGCCATTTCCGCATAATGATCATTATCATCAAAAAAAAAAGAGAGAGAATATCACAAAATCAATCGATAAATAAATATACAGAGAGATAGAGAGAAAGTGTAAATCTCTGGTTATTATTATCATTATTATAACTGTGATTTGGGTCGAATATTTGAAAACATTTGAAACATTGAGAAAAATCTTATCCAAAGCTTATCATCATCATCATCATCATGTTTGGATGGATCATTTTATTGATATTCTTCTGGAAAAAAATCTGAACGATCATTTCTAATTTTTTTTTCATTTTTCGCTACTGCTCTCAACCATGTTAGATTAGTCAATGGACCGACCGCCAGTGTTGAAGCTTAATTTTTTTTTTTTACTTTGGTTGCTATTTTTCATATCATTCAAACACGAATTGTGCGGAAAACATTCATCCAACATTCAATTCTAACAATAATGATGACAATAGAGAGAGAAAAAAAAATATACTAATTGAACTATTGGTTTTTTTTTTTTTTTGGTTTTCACTACAAATATGAAGAATCAAACAATAGAAAGAAAGAAACCGACATACCAAAAAAAAATTCAAACAAATCGATAATGTTGTTGTTTTGTATGAGAAAAAAATATACCATATTATAATGACAGGATATATAGAGAATAGAAAAAAAACATTGGTGCGACATGCACACACACACACATATTCAGCTATTATCACGATCATGAAAAATGATTTTCAGAAAATATTATTATTATTCATTATAAATTTTCATCGTTTTTTTTCATATTTATTCATTGTGTTTGTGTGTGTGTGTGTGTGTGTGTGTGTGTAGGAAAGAATAACAATACGGAATGAAAGAATAACACGAACCATAATGTTTCACATTTGTCGTTTTGTCAATGAATGTTATCCAAAGAATAAAAAAAAAAAAACTTTGATGTATGTGAATTTCGGAACAATGATAGTGGCAGGCTAAGATTGGTACTGGAAAATGGAGAGACAGAATTTTTTTTTTTTTTTTTGATTCAACCATACGACGTCATAATCATTTGGTTAGTAATGATTCATGTATGTGAAGTATTCTGGGGATGATGGTGGTGGCTGCAAAAAAAAAAACTTTTTTTTTATAGAAATTCATCCGGCATTTTTCATAGTCATTCTTAGTCGTTTTCTTTTTCTCTAGTTTTGGTTTAATCTAATCTATTTTTCTTTAGTCGCTCATCAACATGAGACAAACTTATCCGAAATGGTCCATTTTATCTGGAACAACAAAGATTAAAAACAGCGACGACGACAAAGACCAATGATGATGAATAATTGGCCAAAAAAAAAAAAGATTTCTTTCTCTCTTTGCTGTTGTCAATGTCAATGGATCAGCCAACACAACAACAACTATAGTGAAAGCAGGAAAAAAAATAGAAATCAGAAACAATTCCGATTGCGATTCATGAGATAAAGTTGATATTGTCGTTTGTTTGTCAAAAAAAAGGGAGAATTGTAATCGCTAAGAATTATAGACAAAAAAAATATGAAGATATTGAGAATCAATCAATCGATTCGATCGAATGATGATGATGATGGTCAAAATGTAAAATGGAATCGATCGAAAATAGGACCGAATATAAATGATTGTATCATATTGGTACAAACATATAATATATAAAAAAGTTTTAAAACAAAAATGGTTTGTTTTGTTTGATTTTTTTTTCGAATGAGATTTTAATTTTATTTTTTCACTTGATTCTTTTCCATTTTTCCCGGGAAAAAAATCTTTTGTTCTTTATTACAATCTTGAACGATTGAAGATTTAAGAGATTTATGAATTTATTTTGCAGAATGAAAAAACGACAAACAACAACAAAAACAACGACAAAAAAAATGGATTTGTGTGAAGAAAAATAAACAATAAAAAATAAAAATAAAAATTGAAACAAAATGTAATGAATCCAATGGATTTGGATTTTTGTTTCTGGACAAATATTTAAAAAAAAATCTCAATCTGTATGATATATATGGCCAAAATGAAAAGAATGGATGAAAAGAATTGTTGAAAAAATAATAATAACTATGATGAGAATGTGTGAGAAAAATCTGAAACAAGAATTTATATAAAAGGTGTGTGTGTATGTATTACATTTCATCACCTTTTTGTTATTTGTTTGTTGAAAATATATTAAATTAAAACGCAAAAGAATATCTCTTTCCATTTATATTTAGTTCTCGTCCATCTCTCAATTGTCGTCGTCGTCGTCGTTGTCGTTGTTATTATTATTTTATTTAAGAAACCAAAAAAAAAATTACGTGAACTGAGAACCAGGAATAATATTCCTTTTCACAACACACATGGCTGTTTTAGTGTGTAAACACTGACTGTGTTTGTTGTTTATTTGTATCCAGAATAAAAAAAACTAAAACTAAAACTAAAAAAATTGAATGAAATTGAAACGAAAATCTCGAAATTTATTAGTTGTTTTTCTTTTTTTCTTCGTTGTTAGTTTTATAAAGATAAAACTTTTGTTGTTGATTTTGGCTGAACTTTATTTTAGTGATAAAAACAAAAAACAAAATCTATATAAATTGAAAAGACGAAATACTTTCCTGTTGTTGTTCAGCGGTAAACAGAAAAAAAAATGGTTTCGATAAACTGCTTTGTAACTCAACAATAGAAGAATAGATCCAAAAATATAATTGTAACAAAAAAAAATACACTAATAATAGTGGATCGACCGGATAGGAATTTCCGGTTTCAGTTTTGTTTCACATTTTTTTTCTCAATTTCTACCAATGCTGCTGATGCTGTTGGATCAGGCGGTTTTTATTTTTTTTTTTTTTTTTTTTGGTAACATCCAAATCATCTATATCCGATATTCGATCCGCGATATAGTTGTAGCTGTTTGTGTGTCGAACGCACATTTCTATCTCTCTCTCTCTCTCTTGTCCTCTCGGTCGTTTTTCTTTTTTTTCGGTAATTGAAAACATCAATTCTCTATTTTTTTTTTTTCATTGCCCGTTTTTTTCTTCATTATAACCAACTAGACTAACTAACTAACTAACTAGATTTTCTGGTTCGAATAATGTGAAAATATCCTAACCCTCACACATACATAGTTTATTATTCGAAATATATAAATGGGAATACATGAACCAGTTAAACACACTGGACAGCTTCTCATCATCATCATCATCATCAGTGAATTGAATTGAATGACTGTATTAGTGAAAAATGGACAAAAGTGAAATATAACTAAATAACCCAACACACACACACACACACTTACAGAACAATAAGGATCACTATATCTATATTATTACTATTTAAAAATAAACGTCAGAGATTCAAGTATGTGATATCATGATGATGATGATGATGATTCTAGAATAGTTTGGCTATGTGGAATGAAATGAAATGAAATCAAAGGAAACGAAACCGACATAATAGTTCAGATCGTCGTCGGTTCTCTTTTCCTCTTGCCATACAAACACAGTAATGGTGATGGTGTGGTGTGTAAATGTGCACAATGTGAAAACACTAAGCAAAGAATAAAACCCCCCCATTCCAGAATGAATCAAGAAAGAACATTCAAAAAAATAAAAAGAATCAACCATATCAAACACGGCGAAGCAGCAGTAGTTAGTTTGATGAAAAACGATTGCTCAATTTATCTTGGCAGTAGAATCTTGTGTGTTTGGAACATTGTGTTATTCTGTATGATGCTTTTCCATTGAAACAGTGTAAATTTGTAGGAAGAAAAAAATTTAAGTTTGGCCAGAATGCTACCACCACCACCACAATCTTCATCATTATCGGACAATGATTTTGAAACATCAATTGATAGTCCAATAAAATTCTGACCAAATTCTATGATAATTTTTTATATGAGACAGAATGTTTTTCTTGTTACATTTTGTTAAAGTGTTGTTGTTGGTATTGTCAAAGAATGATGACATGAAACAAAAACAACAAAACAGAAAAATATAACTTAAGTGTTAGGGATCATTATTTTCCAATAAAATAATATAATATCATCATCATCATCATCAATGGGCCATTTTGATTTTGTCACAAATTCATTTGATTCCTAAATAATCATTACATTGTTTTTATTTTTTGTGTTTCTATTTTTGATGATGATGATAATAGGGTTGGAAATTACTTTTGAATAGTATGAATGAGGGTGTTTTGTTTTTTCTGTGTTCAATATATAGGAGAAAAAACCAAATCGAATTGTTCGTTATCTTTATGCTTGAAATGATCTGAACGACTTTGATCCTGGAATCACCAATATTCTGTGATGAACGAACTGAAATTGACCAACGAGAATAAAATCGAATAACTTTAAAAGAGAAAAAAAAACAATTTTATTATTTGAAAATTGAAAAATTTGAAATCAATATCAACAACCAATTGAGCAATTTGAAATCACAAAATTCGAAGTAGAATCATTTGATGTTTTTTTTTCTTCAGTCATTTTCCTTGTTGTTTTCGATTTGTTTTTCTGATTGTGACTCTTCGTCACTGTGTACATCGCCAGTCAATTGGTCTATTTCGTTTTTGAATTGTTCAAACTTTTCAACTTCTAACAATAGTTGTCTATTGTATTGTAAATGTAGTTGTAATTCTTCCTGTAGCTCTTCATTTCGATCAAATATTCGTTCCAATTGATTGCGTAGTTGTTCATTAAAATTCTTGACTTCACCAATCGAATATTGATGTTGTTGGCCATTGTTGTGGTGATGGTCATCGACATTCAATTTTTGTTTATTATCACAGCCAACAAAAGTGTTGGTTGTGGATCGATTATCATTATCTTCATCGAAAAACTTTGACAATAATCTTGATACTTGTGATCGAATATCATCACGGGTATCATTGTCATTGTCGATTGTTTCCTTCTCATTCAACAATGACATTTTAGCCACCAAAATAAAAAATTCAATATTCTCGGATGAATTTAATGTATATTTGGAATTGAAAATCTTGATAATAATTGAATTAAATAGGGAAAAAAATCAGATCAAAATAACCATCAATCAAACAAATGTACGTGCTAAAGACGCGCTAAAAAAAATCTTTGTTTTGGTCACATGTTTGAGTGATTGGTTGAGCGGTCTAATCATAAAAGACATAACGCTATTTACACATGCAAATGTATCTGAGATACAAAAATAAAGGCGCGATAATTTGAAAAAAAAATTGCTGCTGATTTTCATATTCTGCGAAAGGAAAAAAAATTTCACCATTGAATTATTCTCGTGGGTATTTCTTCTAAACAAACAAACAAACAAACAAACAAAATTCAGCATTATTTGTTACATGCAAATAACGAAAAAAACAACAGCTAAAATTTGTAACTTTTTTCAAATTTGTTCATCATGAATTCCAATAATAATAATAATAATAACAATAACAACAACAGATTCATAGTGTGACACATTGATTCCAGAATATAATGCGTGCAACAATGACAATAACAAAAGAAAAAAAAAGTGGATGAACAACCAGGCAGACAGTGAGTATCAGTGAGAAAAAAAAAGACGAACAAGACAAATTGGCATAATGTTTTTTTTGTTTCCTTCCACGGTTTCATAGAATCCAATTGGATCGATTTATTTTTCCTCACTTCCAGTTTTCATTCTTGTTTTTTTACGTTGTTTCCTCTCTCTCTCTCTCTCTCTCTCTCTCTCTATGTGTGTGTGTGTATGAAGGGGGAAGTATTTTATTGATGTCGATTTTTCTCCGTTCATTTTATGTGTATATACAGTGTTTGAAGTCAATTTTTCTCGTTGTGTCGGTAGATTTAGTTTCGCTGTATATGTGTATCTGTGTGTCGATGTCGGTATTTCGATGCTTGAATGGATTCGGCAAATCGTTCAAAAAAAAAAAAATTTTTCTTCTCTCCTGGATTTTTATATTTCTTTTGATTTTTTCTTCTGGTTTGTCTTAGTATCATGTACAATGATCGGTTTTTTTCTATGAATTATAATAATAATAATAATCAGCATCATATAACAAGCATTGTGTTTTTTTTCTGGCTAGAAAAAAAAACTTTTTTCTTCATAGGAAAGAATCTCTTCGTTTTTGGTTATTTGGTATGTCTAAGTGACCCCACATCACACCACACCATTATACATGAATGATAATAGTCATGCAATGTGTTCATTCATACACACATACACACACACACAAACACAAAGATGAGGGAAGTATGAACTAAAAATCAAATCAAACCAGAGAAGCCGGATATAAAAAATTTATTTAAATCATATCGGTATTTATGACAAAAATTGTTGTTGATGATGTTGTTGTTGTTGTGGTTCAACAAAAATATTCATCAAATTGATGTCATTCTTTTATATCTTGATATCGTTTACTAGTCCATAGTTATTTCATTCTAATGCATCTATCTATATATATATATTCAAAGTTTCGCATCATTGAAGAATATGATCGTTTATTTATTCACTATTCAAATTTCATCATTTTCAATTTCTGGACATTCAAAAGTTTATTTTTGGACCATTCTTTGTTGTTGTTGTCGCTATTGCTACAAATGATGATGTATGTGATTCTGTATGTTATTATTATTATCATTATTATTACTGTTACTCTGTCATTTTTTTTTTTTTTTTTTTTTTTTGGTTCGTGATATTCCGGAATAGTGGAAAATCTGAATGAAAAAAAAATGTTAAGAAAAATGATTCATCTAATAGGTTATGATTTGTGCTAGCAGCCGATTCTGCCGCTTAGTGTGACATTATTTTTTTTCAAGAATAAAAAATAATTTGAATACATAGGCCATCTATAATATAGATTTTCTCTTTTTTTTTTTTTTGGTTCTAAATTTTGCATTTATTTGGTGTACAATGAATTTTTATACATGAGTGAGAGAAAGAGAAAGCTATGGTTAAAAATTCTATGTATTCAAGTATTGCCACTTATCAATGAGTGTGTGTGTGTGTGTGTGTTTAAAATGTATGAAAATGATCATTATTATTATTGAACTAAAGCTCTAGGAATAAGATATTCACATCTGAGATCAAATTCCAAATGATACATTTTTTTCGAAACTATACCATAGTTATAGGGGACTTGAAAAAAAGCATCATCAGCATCACAATGATCATCAGATGATCATAGTTGATGGTGTCATGATTTTTTTTTCAAACAAACCAAAAGAATCATATAAGAAAAATGTGTCATACAATCGGCAAAACGGTATTGAAAGCCATTTATTATTATTGAAAAAAAGGGACAAATTTAGACCAACCAACTATCAATTATTATCATCATCATCATCAACTAATATTATACACACACATTATAATCATCATCATCATCAAATGCTCAAAAACATACCATCATTATGAATATCCAATAAACGATCATCGAGTATAATATAACAAACAGATTCTATTTTTTCCATATATAGAATATCTTGAAAAAAGCGCCCTTCACATGTAAGTGTGTGTGTGTTTGTGTGTGTAATTTTCTATTCTTGCGTAAATTATTATTAGATTCTGATTCAAGAATTCTAGTTTTGTATCATCATCATCATTATTAATGTTATTGTTGTTAGATTGTGTGTGAGTGTGTGTATGTGTTTAAGTTGCAAAAAAAAAAATTTCACATTACACACATCAACCGTCAATTTTTTTCCACTTTTTTTTTGTTTTTATTCAACTGAATGATGATGGTTTCATCATATATATCGGATTTAAAACGATATTTTTTGTTCAAAAAAATTTTTTTTAATACATGTCAGTCATTCTCACACATACATTATTATTCACTGAATGAGTCCGAATTGAAATTCAAAGGAATTTTTTCTTTTTTTTTTTTGCAAATTTTTTTTTCTGCCAACGATTGCATCAAATGCTGTGCAAATTGCAAATATTGCATGTTATTCTTCAAGAAAAAATATATATGAAATGAAATGGATGAAAGGTTTGAGAAAAAAAAGTAATGAAAAAAAAAAGAAGAATAAAGAGAAAAAAAAAATCTTTTTCCAATGTTGAACTTTGTTGAACAAAACAAAACAAAGCAAAAAAAAAAAGCTTAGACAAATATATAAAAAGGTTTTTTTCTGGTTCTTTCTGGTTTTTTTTGTGGAAATAAAAATAGATATATTTATTTCATTTTTCTATTTATCAAACAGTAAAAAAAAACGGGTTACTCTATTTTATTTTTGATTTTTTTTCCGGCGAAATGGATGTTGAATTGTAGTGGTGGTTGGTTTTTTTTTGCAAACACTCACCTACAAATGATATTCAACCCATTATTTCCGGTGTGGTTGTGTGTTTCACTATGTTTCAATATAAAATGATTATAAACAAAAGTTTCATGTGAACACACGCACGTAGACCGATATAAACAATTTATTATTATCATTTATGCTATATGGGTCAATGATGCTCATCATATGTTTGATGAATAGTTAATTTATATAAATGTACACACGAACAACAAATATACGAATTTTGAATAAAAATAAGTAAGTAATGATTATATTGAAAAACTAAACCAAACAGAAAAACAGATCATCATCATCATCATCATAATCATTTCAAAAACATTTATAGAGAAAAGGTTAAAGAACAATGTTTGAATATCAATTTTATTCCATTGAATTCAATCAAACAATATGAAAAAAAAACAAGATAAAATTACAATGTTTATCGACAGATGATGATGAATAATTACAATTTCTTTGAATGTTTTTTTCTCTAGTCATTGCTAGCTAGATTGTTACGAGAAACAAGAAGAAGAAAAATAACAATGGCTAAAGTGGAGATGAAAAAAAAATGGAGAATACATGATCATCATCATTATATTAAGTTATGATTATGATTATAATAATAATATATATAACAACAATTGTTCATGTTCATTTTATATGATGATGATTTGGATAGAATCGATGGGAAAAAAAAGAAAACCTTGATGAATAGATAATAGATGCACATATCCTGCGTTTTATATTTTTGTCCAATCCAATATATGTATGAATGTAATGGAATAAAAATGCAATGAAATGAAATGAAATGGATGATGATGATTTTATTTCTTTTCTTATTATTTTTCCCATCTATTGCTTTTTGTTGTTGTTGATTCCAAACTTCCGTTCAAATCAAAACTCATAATAATACTGATAGTAATGTATATTGAATGGAAAATGATTGTAAAGATGGATGAATGAAGAGCAAATGAAACAAATAGAGACAACCTTTCATTTTCTCTCATACTATTCCATCATCATCATCATCATCATCATCGTGTTGTTGTTGTTGTTGTTGTTGTTATCGTTCAGATATAAACAAAAAATGATTGAGAAAAAAATATATTGATGTGTTTTTATCGATATTTGATTCACTATTATTATTATTAATTCATGAATAACTTGTGTTTTAAGTTTTTTTTCTCTTTCTCTCTCAAATTCTGTGTCTGCTTCTGTGCTTGCTTGTGTGTGTGTGTGTGCATCGGTGTATAGAGAATGGTTTCAATTCAAAATTCTCAAACACTGATTTCATATTGAAAAGAAAAAAAAAGAAAATTAACATCACTTATGGCCAATAACAATATATATCACACACTCAAATATCGATGATGGAATTGGAATGATGGAATTTCAAATGAAATTTTTTCAATCTCTCTATTGCCCTTTCATTACATTGCATTTCGATGCACAAATAGTGGTGGAAAATGCAATGTGTATAAAGTGTATGGGGTTTTTTTCTGGTTCCTTTACTAGTGTTGTTGAGTATCAATTTGATTTATGTCAGTCAAAAAAATTTTTTCAGAAGCTCCTGACCTACACACACACACACACTCAACATCATTTTGATTTCGAATCAAATTCTTTATGCTTATTTTTTAGAAAAAAACACTATGCGAATCAGTTTTTTAAATTTCA